AGGCTCCCGCTCAATTAAGGTCTTCGATGCACTAAATGAGCGGGAGTTTTAAAATGTACAAAAACAAATCCCAAAAATACTATCTAAGAATTAAAAAATCTTTTATAACTTTATTAGCAATCTAAAAAAAGATGTCGATTCAATATTGTAACGTTCTATTTCGAGCAGCTTTAGTTTCTTGCCACTATTAGCGTGAAGCAGTCTCCCGCTCAATTAAGGTCTTCGATGCACTAAATGAGCTACTCTGCGAATAGAGCTTTTACAAAAAAAATTACAAAAAAAAAATTACAAGCGCGCAACTGCATCGGAGTTGACTGTCCTTCTGAGGGACAAAACTGAATCACGGCTCACGCTATAAAAAAATATTCACGCCTCACGGCTATTTTTTTTTTCGCATTTTCACGACTAACGGCTAATTTTTCAGACGTTTCACGGCTCACGGTTAACCCCATTGAGACCCTCTTGTTCGACGTGTGATCATCTAGCAATACAAACACTGACTTATTTGACACTAAAGAATATATAGCAAATGATGTTCKTTCAGAATGTAGACAAAAAGTGACATCATCACTATGGTTCTTTCCCTCATTTATCAGCCGTATAATACTTTAACAGATCAAATAAGTCATCTCTACCGTACCGAACAAAACGTTATCAATCTTAAAGAAATATAATCCTATGATGGTCCTTGTTGGTCGAATAACATATACAATATTCAATATGTTACATATGACTTGAAATATGTACTAGTGCATATATATTATGGTCGCGCGGAGATACGGATTTTATCTTCGAGTGTTTAAAATATCTCTCACGAGTGAGCGTAGCGAGATTTTCAACACGAGARGATAAAATTCGTATCTCCAAGCGACCATGTAATATTCTGTTTATCATATAATGACATATGAAAGCAAATTATGTYGTGAGAATAACATGTTATTCAACACTCCTTTTTCGAATTCAATGAGCGAATTACCGCCATGTTTAAAGTTGGCGCACTAGAAAGTGTCGAACATGCTAAGATTATAATATCCCTTCCAACAGCTCTAACACTGTATTTCAAGATAACCGGGAGTTCGGGGAATATAGGTTTATTAGCTTCAACTAGACCTAAGACATTTACATTACGACGAACAGTTATACCGCGCTAAATTGCATTGACCGGCACATTTTTTTTAAATTAAAATGCGTGCGCATGTAATGTAAATTCTTATATTTCTTCACTATACTTGAAAACTGATTGAAGAAGTCAAAACGTCGACGCCTCTATTTATCAAAACTAAAACATGAAATTGAGTCAAGTAGTAGTTTCTCGTGTTGTTAGATGTGCCGAATGTAGACACCTCGACATCAGTGGCCTTGTTTGCTGATGATACAAAATGCTATCGTGAAATTAAGTCTCCTGACGACAGTATTCTACTGCAATGCGACTTCGATCGTATCTGCGACTGGTGTACTAGATAGCGCATGGTTCTAAACAAGTCAAAGTGTAAGACGCAGTCTGTAACAAGGAACAAAACCCCCATTCAAAACTACATACAAGCTCCAGGATGCAGAGATCGAGGCAACTCAGTCCCAGAAGGACCTCGGGGTGTTTGTCACCACCATCCTAAAATGGGACCACCATCTGCAATCTCTCTCTGCCAAGGCAAACAGAATGCTTGGTTTTATCAAACGTTGTACTTTTAACATACAAGACCATGTAGTTTAGAAATCACTGTACTCTGCCCTGGTACGTTTAACATACAAGACCATG